TTACCTTGTGGTATTAATGATACCTTTTCCAATACTTGACCTGGCAACATTTAATTAGATTTGCAACTTAGAATTAATTGCTCCAAACTGATTTTGTATAGGCTCCATTCCAACCTTATGCTATAAGTTAAGGATATATGAAACCACATGAGCTGTGATTGTTACATGATTTGAGTATGTAGCTTACTCAACTTTTGATTAGCATTGATTAAAGTTTACAAGTCAATGTATGTGTGTGAATAAAACAATTGTAGCTAAGTAATATGACATTGTCAGTAAAATTAATGCACAAAATTGCATGCCTTTACACCAGTGAGTACCAAGTACTTTAAGAACTGCTTTGAAGTACTTTCCTAAGTGCCCCTTATCTTGCCAAACTTTTGTATAATGATTGATGAAAAGAATAACATTTTATTTGATAATCTTCTAGTGCCTGTCCAGATAGATTCCCATTTTGCAGATTGGTGGCACTGAGGTGACTCAGTACATCTCCTTTGGCTATACAGTCATGCAGGAACAGGGTTACCTGCAGGAGAGAATGTTTGCTATCCACAGATAGTCCGGGCTTTTCCTATGTGACTGTATATTTTTTTATGTTATGGGCATCATGAGAGTATGTGGACAAATGGAGTCTTCCTCTTGCCTGGACCAAAGAAAAGAACAAAGGTCAATTTGTGCCTTCTGTGGAGTCAGTGGACTGGACTTTGTTTAGGAATTTCTTATTGGCTTTTTGCCTGATTCCACTTAATTAATTTATTTATATATTATTTATTTCCTAGTTATTTTTAATCCAAGACCTCTTGTTTTAATATCTGTCCTTCTAAGTGCCTTAAGTCTGTTTTTAAACTACGTATACTTTTTTTTTTAAAAACCACATTCACATATTTCTGTTAGATCTGAGATCTGCTAAACACAGATAAACCAGGCCTTTGGAGGGAACCACACTTGGGTTTGAATTCCAGCTTTGACACTTAATAACTATGGACTCTGGACAAGTTCCTTAACCTTTCTGAGTTTCCTCTTTGTGAAATGAGAATAATAATCCATAATTCACAGAGATGTCTTGGGGATTAAATACAATAACTCACGTAAATTACTTTGTGCGTAGTAGGCATTCAATAAATGTCGCTTCGCTTCTTCTCCCTGTTATTAATGCTTATTAGACTATATTAAAAACTAGAAGCAGACTGTGATAATGTATTCCTTTATTAAGTATTTAAGCCAAATAACCAAGTTCCCCCAGGGGGGAAGAGAAATGTTGAATTTGTTTCATTTGGTGAACTTATTTATTAGTCTTTTTCCCAAGTTTTATTTGGTTTCATGGTTCACAGCTTAGTATTCGTCCCACAAAAAATGGCAATTCACTCTTCTTTATACTGGGATAAGAGTTGGGCTTTTGCAAATTATCTATTATCGCCTCTTTCATCTATCAGAGATCATTATTAATTATATTAGCAGCTCGATTTTATTTACTAACTGCGTTGGATGACAAAGTTTGGCTTTTAACAATTTCCCTGAGGTCTAAGGATTTCAAAGAATCAAGTTTACAGTGGCAGTGCCTCAACAAGAAAAAACCAGGGCTGGGTCGCAGAGACCCACATGGCCTGCGTGCTTTCGTGTTACACTTGCGTTTAAGTGGAGCCTCAAGGTTGCAGCCTAAGTGAGGCAGGCTAGAGAAGAGGCAGAGGGCAGGGCTGCCCTGCACCTTTAAGGACTGGAGACTTGATCCCAGCTCATCCTCCTTCCTGGCCCACCTCTGAACTCTGATTGACAGGCTGCCTAGCCGAGGAGGAGCTGAAGGAGGCGGAGGAGGAGGAGCTGGGTGGAAAGTTGAGGGAGGAGGAACCCATCTTTCCCTGGCTGACCAATCAGAGAAGGAGGCGGGGCTCCGGAGCCTGCCCCCATCCTCCTGCCCCCGCCTCCTGGCCTCCCCGCCCCCTCCCCTTCCCTAGGCCCCCACCTCTCTCCTTC